AGAAAAAACAAAAAAAAAAAAAAAAAAAAAAAAGAACTGGGATACATGGAAACAGACATTGGGTTGGGGGCTGGCCCAAGAGTGGTGCTTGTGAGCTTCATGCTGGAATCAGACCCATTAAACAAATGCCAGCCATCGGACAGATCAAAGGCTACCCATTTCGAGCCTCCCTCCCTGACTGGTGACTTGAGGGTATCGCCATAACTGGTTTACCTCTATCTTCATCACCCACTCAAGACCTAGCCCGGAGTAGGTGTCTTGTCAAGCTCAAACCGAACTGAACTGAACCAGAAGAAAGCAAGAGGCACACAGTGTTGGGGTGGGGGGTTAGGGCTGCTATGAGAGAAGTTGACTTACGTAGGAGAAGTCCTCAGCATTCTGGCAGAGGAGCTTGGGGAAAATGGCCTGCCTTTGGAACCGTTCCTCATCCTCAAAGATATTGCCATACATGAAGCCATTCATCATGGTGGAGTGGGCGTGGATGTCAATGTAGAACTCCAGGCTTGTTTTCTGTTAAGGGAAAGGGTAATAAATGAGAAGTCTGGGGCCACAGAACTCACCCTAAAGGGACCAGACCATATACACGATACCCTCTTAAACTGGCTCTTTGTGTCAGCAGATTTGGCAGCTATTTGTAATCTGATTGGAGGGGTTGAGATAGTGAGGATCCATGTCCTCAGCTCTGAGAGCACTAGCATTTGCGTTACTCTTTAGAGGCTCACTGAAGATATGAGGTCTCTGTCAGGTTAATTGATGCTGTTACTTACTCAGAACAGTTAATGTACCCATGATTAGACAGTAGTGGAATTTATTCCTCTGATTAGTGAGAAATACCTTTCAGGTAACATAATTCTCTTTATTTGCGGCATGTGTACAGTTGGGCTATAACTCACCATTTCTAGTCAGGGGACCTGGTGTAAATCGTGATCCCACTTTGAGCCTCAGATTCCTTACTTGAAAAATTGTATTTTTATTCCAACTTCAGAGAGTTATCATGTGAATTAAAAACAGTAATAATACTTACCACCATTTCCTGTATTTCTAATGCATACTAGGCACTGTTCTGGGAGTTGTGTTTTAGGCAATTTTAGTTAATTCTTTTATTTAACCTTGTTTTATGATGCTACACCTACTCCCCAATAATATATAGCTTATTCATAATATATAGCTTATTCATGGGGAGCCTTTGTCACCTATAAATGAGGTTGACTACTTTTTCTGCTCTCTGCTTGCACATATTGAAGTCATTTACTAGTTTGATGAGCTATTATTTGTTAACTTTCCCTGAAGGTCAGAGAATCAGCTGTAAAGAGCCCAGTGCTATAAGTTAAGCATGCTCAGTCACTGGATGACTGAACAAATGACCTAAGACATTACTCCAGACATTACTCCAGATAACGAAATGGACTGGCAGCAATTGGGGGACTTTGAGGGATTTCATCTAGAATATCCCTCACACAACTTTCTCTTTCTACTCACCAGGCCAGTATTTCTCTATTAATTTTTTCTGAGAGTAACAGAGGAGCTAGACATGGAAGGGACTTGCCTATACTCATGGAATAATTGGGACTGACACCCAGGCTTGCTGACCCTTGGGACAATTAACTGGTCTGCTTCAGTGGCCAGCACTAGCAAGAGCTGGGGCAAACCTAGCTGCGTCCCATCTCCTTTCTGGTACACAGTCCTGGGAAAGAAGAACAGCCCACATTGAGAAGGATTTTCCCTCTTTGGGACACTTCCAAATGAAGTTAAACTCAAATGAAAACCACGTTGCTTCTAGAATGTGGACTTGATGACTGTCATTTCATTTGCCTCAGAGTTGAAGTAAAAAATTATGTCTTGCCGAGCTCCCAGTTCTCTGGATAGCATAAGCGGTCTTTTGAGAGATACAAGATGCACTGCTCTGTGTGATATTAAACTCATCATTTTCAGCTTTGGAGGTGGAATACACAATGATTCAACAGGAGCCCTATAAAAGTCATCTTTGCAATTTTATTTTCTTCAATTGTCTGTCTTTTCCTCTGAGCTTTTGATGAGCTGCACAGGAAAGGAGGAGGTAGAGAGATGACTTAGACGATGTGTGAGGAAAACAGCAATTTGTATCTCTGGATGTCAGGAGTAAGAGAGAGTATTAGAGATCAATTTCTCTGACCCTGCTCAGATCAGCACTGAATGGGGGGGTTTCTTGCTTAGGGCTGCCCAGTAAACTGTCGAAGGAACAAAAATTAGAACCAGGTTCTTCTGATGGCCACTTGGGCATGGTATTCATTGTCCCCTATACTTGCGAGCAAATGTGAGTTCATTTTCAGTAACCAGAAGGTGAACTATAATTGATTGATTTGTACTTTTCAAAAGTAGAAAGCTATGAAACAATTTATAGCAAAAAAAAAATTCTTTCCATTTATCCTCCAGTCACCCTATTTTGCTATACAGAGGTAACCAATGTTATCAGGTTGGCGCTATCTGTTAGCATACTGTTAGTGTGTATGTATGTACAAGTGAATATTGCCACCACTCCTAGCACTCTAAATGCACATTCAGATTACTTTTTTTTCTGAATAGAACTTGGAGGTGATTCTCAGTAAACAGTTACTTCATTCTTTTTAAACTACTGTTAAAGTTTATATCTAGACACCTCACAAAAACCTTACACTGGACTGGATTATGGGGTGCAACAGCGTCTTGCTATTAGGAGGTGGCCCCTGGTTATAGGCAGGTCACTGGGATCATAACCTGGAAGCACGTACTGTATCTACCTTTCCAATTGCTACCATTTTTCTCTACTTCTTGGCCACCATAATGTGGGTGGCTTTTCTCTGCCCAGGTCTTTCACCACACTGTTGCTATTTACCCCACCAAGTGTGGGCAGAAACACGAAAACTGTGAGCCAAAATAAGCTTCTACTAGTACAAAAGTAGTGGTTTACTTCTTTAGTACATTTTCCTATGCAGAAAGTTTTAATTGCAAATTTTATATGATCACTCTCTAGCTGCCAGGACATAACAACCAATACCGCTAACTATAAAGAGGACAGGTTTATTTTGATTCACAGTTACAGTCCCTGGTCAGGTGGCTCCAAGGCAGAAGCAGCTCAGTGGAAGAGCCTGCCCAGAGGAAAGGTGCTCACTACAAGGTGGCCCAGAAATCAGAAAAAGTGGGAAAGAGCCAGGGAGGGAGATGGGGCCACCCAGGCCACACCCTCAGTGACCCTCTCTTCCAACTGGGTCCCATTTCCTAGCAGAACATCCAATTGTGGACTCAAAAGTGAGTTAATCCACTAATGAGTGTATGGCCCCATGACCCAATCACCTTCCAAAGGCTCAACATCTGAACACCTGAGGCTCTTGGTGGACAATCTAGATCTAAACCATTATGGTCTGATTTATCAATATTTTCCTTTGTGGTTTCTGGGTTGAATTCTTTATTTTTTTTTTATTGTGTCTTTTAAATGTTTTGTTTTATTTCCATTTATACAGATGTAGAGTATGAGGTAAGGCCTAAATTTTGTTGTCCCAATACCATTTATTGAATTGTGCATCTTTCCTCTACTGACTTGAAAAGCCATTTTTACTATACACGTTTTTCTGTAGTGGGGTTTACCTTTGGACTTCCTGTTTTGTTCTAGTCATTTGTCTATTCATATGTCAATTCACACAGTTCTAATTATTTTCTTTTTATACCTTGTTTTAATATTTGGAGAACTAGCATGATCTTATTATGCTGTTTCTTCTGAACTTTCATGAATTTTTTGCATATTTTTCTATATTATCTTTATGATTAGCTTATTTAGTTCTCTTCACCCTCAAATATCCTGTCAATATTTGTAATACCATATTAAATTCAGAAACACCTAGGAAGAATTCAATGACTTTGATCCTTTCCATCCAAGGATGTTCTGACTTTCCATTCCTTCAAGTTTTCTTTTCAGTATAGCAGGAAGATTTTTAAGATTTTTTTATAAACACCCTGAACTTCTTTTTTATGTCCAGGAAGTTTATATTTTCAGTTGCTGTTATAAATATGATGCTTTCTTCCATTACAATCTTCTCACTGGTGTTTCTCTGTAAAAGTAAAGGCTTTGTTTTCAACAAATGAAGTTGGTTCTCAAACACTTTACTAACTCTATTATTATTGCTTATAATTTTGAATTTGATTTCCTTGTATTTCATTTGTTTATTTACTCAGAAAATACTGAATGGTTAGTATGTGTTAGATAGTGTTCTGGGCATCGGGAATATGTGCCAAAGAATATTCTGGACACTAGAGACAGCAGTGAGCATAGTAAAATGCTCTTAATCTCAAACAGTTTACCTTCTATGGTGAGAAAAGGAAAATCAATCAATTAATGAATATATAAGATGGTAGGAGATATTGATGCCAATGAGAACCCAAAGCAGACTAAAGAAGCAGGAAATAATAGAAGTTCTAGAAAACAGAGACTTGAATGAACCAGGAGAGTTGGCAATGAGGATATAAGGTAAAAGTTTCTTTCAGGGTCTTTATTAGAAGAAATAAATGCAAAGGCCAATTGTAGTTTGGCATGCTTGAGGAACACCATGGAAAGAAGGGAAGATGATTGAGAAAAGGGGTGAATAAAGGCTCAGCATTTCCCATATAATTTTATCATGTGTATATTAATTTTATCCTTTTTCAGCTTCTAATTTCTCTTTCTTATCTAACTGCACAGTCTAGTAACTCTAAAACAATATAAAGGACCAGTTGGTTTGTAAGATTCCTTTTCACCCTGAGATTTTAGAGGCTGGAAATAAAGTAAAACATGTTTATTAAATTAAACTCAATGGGATCTGAGTTTGAGGTGTAAATCGTTTTTCTTTTTATTACACATATTCTGTACTTTGCTAGGAATGCAAAAAGACATACAAATACACACTTGTTACATTTTGTGCCTAAGTGGATTTTATGGACATGGGTTCAACTGATTTGAATGAAATATGAAAGGCAGAAATGGGGTTTCTAGCTCTTATCCTAATGTTAATATAATTTGTGACCACATATCAATAACAACTCTTTATGCTTCAGTTTTCTCATCTGTAAAAAATGTAAATGGATGAGATAGGGGAGACTTCAATTTTACAAATCTCTCATTCTCTACATAGCTTCTTGCTTGAGGCTTGATATCAGTATTTGTTACAATCCAGTCCAAGTTGGCTGATAAGTGTGAGTGCCTATGAATTCCTTCACGACAAGGCCAGGTCAGATCTAAGGCCTTGTAATCTCTTGCTTGGTCTATTGTTATGATAGCTTCTGAATTGATCTCCTTGAAGTTTCAGAGTGATCTTTTTGGAAATAATCTATGTCACTTACCTAGTTAAAACTGGTTTACAGCTGTCTGTTATTCACAGGATAGAGTTCAAGTTCTTTTATACGTGTTAGAAGCTCCTGCATGATCTGTTCTCTGTTCGAGACCCAGCTCTTGCTATTTCTGGTCTGGTATTCTACAGTCTAGCCATGTCAAGCTACCTAGAGTAACTCGACCACAACTTTATGAC